AAACAATATTACATTTATTATTTTTAATCCATTAAAAAACAAATAAATTTTTATCAGTATGCGGTTGTGGAGATTGTTAATCTTCTGATTGAGATCATGAATAAATTGACGTTGATCACCAGTGACTAGCTCCAAGATGATTTCCTGGCATTCTAGTGAGAAGCCGTGACCAACGCAGTTCATTCCGTGTCGAGTTGAGACAGGTATCTACCTCAGACAATAAATGAATTGTTGCGCAGCAATTCGTGGATCGATTGAAGTTAAATATTAATACCGTTGGATGTCAGCTTAGTGGTCTAATGGTTAATCATTCGAGTGCGAGACCGAAGGTTCTGGGTCCGGAACCCATGTGCGGGATCGTAGATGCGCACTACTGAGGAGTCACATACTAGGATGAATTGGTCATTCAGTGCTTCCAGGTTTTCAATGATAGTCCACTATCAAGCGATTCATGATCTCAATCAAATAAATTTTTGTTTGGTATTCTAGATAACATCTTTACATGAAAACAATAAATCAACAAAACAACGTCGTATAGTCATATTCATTTTTAAAATGAACTGATAAAAAATATTTGCATAGTTTCAAAATTATTCACCAGAATGTTTTTTTTGAAAAAGACTCAATTATTATATTGTTCAATAAAAAATCTGCTGTAATGAGGTATTAAAATGAAGATACAGAATTGAAAATTATAACTCTTTATTAATTGTTCTATTTGTTATCAACAATTTTTAAGTTACTTTGAGCATAACTGTTTTAAAAATATGCTATGAAACACTTAATAAGTTACTCTTCCGTTATGAGCAAAAATAGATGGTCACTAACAATGAAATTCAAGATGCGCGTGTCGTCCAATTTGCAATTCGTCAGCTGGATGTACCTGTATCACAGGATTGATTTTCATTCTGAGACTCAAACCCAGTACTGTTTACTTCAAACGTCATCATATTATCCACTTAGTTACTGAGTTCTAATAGCCATTAGCTTGTTCATTGGGATAAAGTTTTAATTGATTTTTAGTTCAAATAAACAATATAAAAAGAAATTATTACTCTTCTATATTTCAATAAAAGATTCCATTCACTTTCAATTCAATAAAATTAATAGACATATCATTTATCGTACTTACTTTCTCAATTACCTACAATGCATTGTTCACCTTTTAGGAATGTTTATTCATTAGAGTCAGAATACAATAGTCATAGTAATATATTCATTAATATAATCCATGAATAGAATAAACATGACAACATATTAAAATATGAAAAACAACTAGGAATGTTTATGTTAATTTTCTGATTATTATTTTACTCTTACATTTAACATATCAATCAGTATAGTGATAAAGATACAATTATAACTAATTTTTCATTGTGTAATGAAAGTAATGATTCAAAAGATGGTTAAATATGATAAATAACAAACAAATAGAAGATATAAGCAAACACAAAAATAACATACAGAATAGCATAATTGAACTATAGATTTATTGAAATAAATTTAAATTTATGTTACATGGATACTAAAGTCTCCTTTTTGTTGATATGTAAGTAGACGAAATTATTATTTGTAAATCATTTATACTTTAAATAAGATTTATGTATGTTAATATCTGTGTAAACATTTCACATGCAAGTGTGATATCTTTTTGTTTGGTGTTACATTTATAGATATATCAACTAATTTAGAGGGTTGTATTAGTAATTTAATGTTGTAAGCAGTTACATATCCGTTAATCATATTAAAATAGTTTAAATTACTTATTAATCATTATCCCGTTCCTTATTTTAAAACTCTAGACATATTCAGTATGAATATGAAGTGAGGTATATTTTTACCTCATATCTGTATTTAACATGATTAAGGATTTCGAATTTATGACATATCGATTGAAATATGAAGTTATTAGAATTATATTTTAAGGTCCAATCAAGGGTTAATAATTTCATAGAAGTAACATAAGTAAAGTAATTTTTATATTCTGTTTCTTTAAATTAAAATGATTAAACCGTTCTGGATACATTGGGTATTCGTATAAACTTATAAAATTTTTCACTGATTGAATTCCTGAGTCACTTTAAGCTAGACCACCATGGAAAACCTGGAAGCACCGGACGACCGTTTCTTCCTAGTATGGGACTCCTCAGCAGTGTGCATCCACGACTCATGATTTCAACCAGTGAACTTTCTAAAATCTCAACACAACCCCTTCTGATTATACAAATTTTGTTCAAAATATTCTTCAGTAAATCTCATTCAACTATTTTTCATCTTGTCAAAACTTTAAAATTCATATAAACTAGATAAATGAATGAAACTATATCAATAATTGATCATAATGTAATATGATTCAGACCTTACTATTCATATCTTATTCCTTTTATGTATATAGAAGATAACTTAAACTACTTATTATTGATTAGATACTTATCGATATATTATTTCTATCATTGAAAGTGATATGGCTAACCTTAATTTATTCATTTACATCACTATATCTTATTAATTACCAATAGTATTTACAATTTACCAATGAATCCCTTCATAAGAAATTACACAATCAAAATAACTTTACATTATATTGTCTGAACTGTTAAGATATCAGTTTTAGGATCAATCAGAAAATTAACATTGAAACAAAATATTCTTTAACCTTACCATTTAAATATAAAAATAAAATTCAAATATTCACACATTTTATTAGTATGTTTAGTTTACGAGTCAAAATGAAAACTTGAGTGCTCTTTCAATAAAAAAAAACAGTTTAAAAAAATATAAAAATCATATAGTGACTAGGCAAATATTGATCGATATGTAATTAAGTTCATAACAAATTAATATAAAGAATAAATTCGTTAAATTGAATATGTCGCATATGGAAATTGTTCAGTGCATTTTACTTAAATTTGTTACTACCAGACAAAGAGAAATTGTACTTTTATTTTTTTAGTGTACTTTAAATGAATAAATTCTTAATTCTATGTATTCATTAAGTAATTAACAGCTTTTAAATATTATCAATGTTTCCAAGTCCCTTAAAGATTGTTCCGAGATGAATATGAGTATCTCATCAAAAAACAAAAACAAATGAGATTACTGTCATGAATAAAACAACTGGAAATCAACTTATCAATGTTTGTCATATAAAACTACTTTATACAATCAATAGAATCTGTAGACATATTATTTGATAGAGATGAATTTATTGTCATGCTTTTCAGAGTATTGTTTCTTTAATGAGAACTTTTATATAGAATTTATACCTTGACCATACATTTGGTAATTTATCCTTAGAAAATACAGGATTTCAAATAAAAAGGAAACCATGAACTTTAGGTATTACAGTAACTGATTTAATTACCTCACTATATTAAAAACTTCCTAAATAAATTGACGTTTCATTATGAGCCTTATATATTCGGAGCCTAAATTGTGTAAAGACAACATTTTCAAAATTACTTACATTGTGTGACTAGAAAACTCAGAGATTTCAATACTTCTGTTAAACATTCTTAACCTTTCTTCTATCACTACTCAATGAGAATTCATAAAAACATCACTAACTACCACATAACGCATATCAACCTAAAGCATAAACGTAAAATGAGATCTATTCAACTCCACATACGCTCTATTTTCATGTTTGAAAATATCTATTACAACTTTTTCATTCTTCTTGTTAAATAATAATACTGATCGTATATTTCATATTTTACAAGTTATTCTCGTATGTAATTCCACTCGTGTAGTGGCATAATACATGTATGTACATCGCAACTCACGTGCAATTGAGTTTGTCCTCATTTAATTTGGTCAAGCCCTTTTGTTAACTTATTTAGCGGACAAAGTCAGCCGTACTATGACAACTTATTGTACCTTTATTATTCTTGTGCTTGTATGAAATATGTATGCTTGAACATTGCTTACCGCCTACGTATATAATCATTCTACTAGCTTTATTATTAACTGCTTAATTGATTCGATGATCCATTCATTTCCCTATATATAAACATGTACATTTAACATTCTACACTCTCGGTTCGCTGACTCATTCATTTGCCTCTCGGATTTGTGGTCTGAGTTATCTGCTAATAAAACTGTAGTCGCTGCTTCTCTTTGCCTTCTGATTTAAAACACCGTTGAGGATTATATGGTAACGGTTACGAGGGTGATTGGTCAACGAAGCACAACCACTACATGTACTTAATTGTGCTATTTCAATCGACTATCTACAAATGTAACATTTATGATATTATACACGTAATTTAACCACAGAATAAATAAAATTTTTAAAAAAATGAAAGGAAATCCAATCAAGGAAAGTGAATTACTATCGTTTATAAAATAACTAGATTAACAGTAGGGTAAAAGCAGGTTAGTGCTAGTTTTAAATTACCCTAAAAATTTAAACAAAAGTTTCAGTGAAGAATTACTCATTACAATTAACACTGGTTTGTTTCACACCTTGTAAGATTATTAAAGGTATAAACAAAGTAAAGTGTGTCTTTAACAGACTATATACTGGAATTCAAACTTAAAACGTTTTTTTTTCCAGTAATAAACTACTTATATGCTGTGAATCACTTGCTGGAGATTAATTTTAACAAAACAAACAGAGGAAATTACAACTTACCAACTTATCTCAATACAAAATCTCATACAAATATGTATCTATTTTTTCCTCATTCACACAATTTTATTTCCGTTTCACTATAGTAAAACAGATAATTTCTAATCAATATAAATCCCCTTCGTGAATTCATGAATATAATTTCCTTACAGTTATTATTTGATTTATTAGAATAATCGTATCATAATTATACTCACTATAAACTCTCTACTAACTATTCATTTAGTAGTAAATAAAAATGTCGTGTTTTATAAATAGACCTGAAAACGATATAGAAAACGATGAATGAAGTTAATGTAAATAATGTGAAACGATTAACATCAAAATGAATGATACACTGTTTTTAAAAAAAAGTTTCTTAATTTACCTCTTTTCCAATGTTTTCAATGTATCTACAATGTTTACATTTTGTTGCATAAATGATGAAAGTTCAGCAAATTGACGTTTTAATTCACTGAATTTATTTCGTAATTCTACTTTAACTAAATTATCAACAATTATTTGATTTGAGCATAAAATCTGTATCATAGAAAATATAAACAAAATATAATAACATAAATTCTATTTATTCACAGAGAAAATGAAATCGTTACAGTCTGTTTAAAAAATGAAACATATTTATATTGACGTTCTGTTGAACTCCCTGATTAATGAATGTCTACTTACAGTTGTATTTTGCTAAAAAAAAAATCATTTAACAGACTGTAGATCACCAACATAGATGATCTATATCGAATGTTTGGAGGCCTACTTGAGTTAAACGGGAATGGTATGACGAACCAGCTAACTTCGAAGTCATACATCGTGGTCAGTATCTAACACGGATTACCCCTTGAACGTATCAAAGTACTATGGCTGTTTTGAAAACGGCATAACATAAAGGACGTTATTACGGACATATATTAGTAAGAATGAGTAAAGAGAACGTAGCGAGACCACCATCATATGCGCCAGTTCATTTCATACGGTTGATTGACGCGCGTTGCTTGTCCTTGACCTTGATGAGGATCGATGATCTGTTCGATATTCAGTGATTCAACTACCAAATGATTTGACTAAGGCTCAGTAACATTTCACTGGCCTTACAAGACATTTTTTCTACTATCAAAATCATTTTAAATTTTAAAAACACTGAAGTTGGTAACTCAACATAAAATGTTTTTTTATCGTCATCCTAGAAAATATCACAATCGACCAATCAATCAATAAGTAGTATAATAATATTTGTTTCTGAATTTCAATGAATAACTTCTTATCCCTGATTTTAATGATTTCACCTCTTATGTTTCATAGTGAGACAAATGAAAGGTATTTCTTCTATCAAATGTATGACATCATTAACTATAATTTTTCCCTGTAATAAATTAGTATTCTTTTAATAAAGTGTATTTAATTGAAAATTAATTTTGACTAGAGTAAGTACATAATTATAAAACACTGAAGAACAAACAATTAATGATTTCTAAGATAATAAGGATACCAAATAGTCACCAACTGTTACATTCGTATTTTAACTACATAAACTTATTTTGTTTTCTTTGTTATGCATGAATTCTCATTTTTATTTTATTGTTCTCTGTTAATTACACTATTTGGATGTGTTTATATTAATATTTATATTCATCACATACCGATATAATTGAAGATGGATGATAAAAAGGCCGATAGTGTATGTTTGTGAACAGTGAGAAAAAAATGAATTTCCTCCTTTTCGTGTATGAAATAAAAATGAACGATGAAAAGTGCATCAACTCTAAGTCTGAGCATTTGTTTATCATTGGTTAATGTATTGATATAAGTTCTAAGTTTCAATGAACAAGAAAAAGGATGATTTCAATATTATAAGCTACTAATGTATGTAAATAAACTAATTGCTATTCATGTTACTGAGGAAGCAACGTCAAAATCTCACTAACATAAGATGGTAAACTATCAAATTAGTTAGTGGCTTTTTAAGAGATATTAATTTTCCCTTAATTACGAACGAATAAGATATTATGTACGGTTATCGATCTTAGATTTACACGGGGAATAATACACACCACTTCATCGTTTTCTACTCAGGATTTAGAAAAATATTTCCATGTGAGTGGTCAATTACAAGCTTAGGATTAAATAATTTCAAATAGAGGCTTCATTTTTTGGCTTCAGGTAGTAGTAAGTACATAACTAAATCAACATTAAATTTGATTTTAAATTTGATTAGCCTTAAGCATTTTTAGCAATTTCTGATACTAAATTAAACTACTGATATAGTTTATAAGTAGCTCAGTTTTGAGGTAAAAACTGACCGTAATTATCCGATCAACAGAAATAATTTACTCAGCTGGACTGTAAATCATCATTTTGCTACTGTGTGCAAACACGTACTTTATATTACACACTTCATTTTTGTTTACTTACTCACACTATGGCATGTTATAGATTGTAATTTACAAGTCACTTACTGACTAACATCAGGTATTCTATTCACTCTAATTCCATGAACAAGAAAATTCTCTGTCATAATTTACCAATCATATATCTTGACCAATAAAAACAGATGCATCTTGCTCTTAGATATTTTCTCTTAAAAAGGATAAGGTATATCTAAGCAGGCTTTTTAACTTTTATGATAAAATATTAGAGAGATCTCAGAGTTTTGGATACATTTCTGTAACGAAAGAAATAATAATCTTCGAACAGTCGAGTGTAGGATCTAAGTTTCTCTCTGCTTATAGATTATAAACCTGATATTTTGATCATCCGGTATAACATCGGTACTTCTACTGTGATTTAGAAGAAGTTGACGTAGAATTTGGTATCAAGACTATTAAACAAGAAGCTTGTCAATAACTCATTAATGACACATTTCTTGTTCTACTGATAATCAAAAGGAATTGTAATATTTTAAGGCATGTTTCATAGAAATCAATTTGTTTGACATTGACTTAGTAATTGGTAGTACAAACTAATCATTTAGTTAAGCTGACTTGGTAAAATTTATGCTATTATTCAAACGTATTGCGTTTTTAAATTAAATGTTTATTTTAGTGACATCAATATGAACACATAACTTAAAATGAAGTCCTCGAAAGATTTTAAATATTGTATTGAAAATATCTAAGTCTGTAAACTAATCAACATCCTAAAAAAGGTTCTGATCACTTAGTGTGAATTGATTTGGCTTTCAAATGATATGGAAACCATTTAAAAATAACACATGCTTCATATATAAATGTACTACTTACTTCAGGGCAATCACAGTCTGGTGAAAGATATTCAATGAGCTGCCAGTGTGTTGGATTTTGATTTTTGTTTAAATTTTGCACAATAACTGATACAACAGAATCTGGAGAAACCTCTCTCACTTTAAGTTGAACACCATTAATGTTACAAATAAGTTGATCAAACTGTCGAAATGAAACAAAAAAAATTAACTGAACTAATCATTGTCTTTACTAAATGTTCAATCTTTGATGAGATCCCAAAGCAGTGGGCACTAATAACTTCTTTACAGTGACATTATCAGTGAATGACAATTTCACAAAAAGACAGAATTTCAAAGTGCGAATTACTGGATACCAAGTCAGTAGTCTGGAAGAAATGCTGTAGAGTTTCCAACAAAAATAAAACCTCTTTGGAATATTCTCCCCTTTCTAACATTCTTTAGTCTATTATGCAAGATCAACATTATTAGTAAGTTATCACTCGACTTGTTAGTTAACATTAAGACAAACTACACAACATCATACAATAACCTTATTTAGGTATCCACAAAATAGTATTAACGGAAATATATGGATTGGATTTAACTCATTAGAGTTGTAGTAGTCTGCTGCTTCTGATGAGGGACCAATGTTTACCAGACAACCTCCATATGAAATACAGAATTATTTGCAATGTAACAAACATTTATTCATATGTTTTGGCTTAGTTTACAACATGTTCACTATTACTTATTTCTTGAAGCTAATATAGAAGAATGCATTTCATTCTAATCTCAACGGAATAATACACTTTATTAAATTAACTCTTCTAATAAAAGCATATATCAAGGTTATTAAATATCAAACAACAAAGATAATCGGAGAAACGTTTCATTAATAAATAATCTGGCACTTCTTTGAGTGCACCAAACGTTAGTTCAGTTAAAGCAACACTAAAAAGGAAACTAGTCATTTGACTAAATGAATTAATCGATACTTAAGGAAGTTAAGAATTTATTCTATCAGTATGAAGATTTATGGAAATCGTAGTATTTTACAGTTGAATTCGCGAGTCGATCTACATTTCACCACCATTGAAAACTTGGAAGCACTGGGTTTGAGTCTCACGTGCAGGATCGTGGATGCGTACTGCTGAGTAGTCCTATACTAGGACGGAACGGTCATCCAGTGCTCCCATGTTTTCAATCGTGAATTCAGCTGTGAAAATTTCCTGTATTTTGATTTGCTATAGCTCTGGGATTTTTAATTAAATACGTTTTGTATAAAGTTAGAGGCTAATTTGTTTTAAGATTGTGTTATTGGAATCTATTATATTTGTTTTGATAATAATAAAAGATACACAAACCGAAGGGAAGTTTTATTTCAGTAGAATACAGAACGGTGATTTTTCAACGAGTAAATTTTTGCTTCAACTATTAATTTTATGAAATGATACTTTCCTGTTTCACTTAAGTTAGCGGGACATAGATTGGATTAAACATGCTCAATGCACGATTGGTTTGGCGTACGCTGATTGGCTAACAATTAGCCAATCAGCGCTGGCCAACACTAAGAGAACACTTTTGAATCTTCTCCTGTAAAAACTATAAATATACTAACGTTCATCCTACTGTGCTTCTTACTTCTATCTAACCTTGTTATTTGGAATAAATTCTCTTTCCTGTTCGACCGTGTTCTGGTTTAGGGACTTGTCGAGTGAATTGGTGTCCAAGACTACTAAGCAATAGGAATAGCTGGGTTGTAATAAAAGAGAATTTCAACAACTTATAACCACTTACCATAGTACTATGAATAGGTTTAATTGATTAAACTTTAAATATTTTATAAAACCTTAAATACTTACATATATTACTAACAAAGTGTAGAATTTAATTAAGAGAATGCATCAGCAATATAAATAAACAAATCAATACTACTTACCATATTTGTATGAATTGAGCAAAAATATTCAAAAATTTGAACAAATCCAACGATGTTTTCCCTGACAATATCTTCGAATTCCTACAGTGTATTTGTTTAAAACAAAACAAAACATTATAACTACTAATTCATATAGAGATATATTTACTGATTTCAAAATATTATTTTACTATTCAAATACATTAAATCATAATAATTCCATGTTAATTATTATTAAAAATTCACAAACACTTTCCATAGATCTATTCAACGACTGAAACATATTGTTCCAGTCCACTCAGTATTAAAATAACACATAGGGTACCATCTGGTTAAAGATAAACAACTGTGTAATAAGATTAGACCTTCCCAGATATTTTAAAATTTAATGAAATGTTTCCCTACAGTAATATTCCCGTTTCATCTACTTATTTTTGAAGTGGATATCATAATTATTCCATAAAGTGTTTTATAATATATACATATCTCTAGTAAGTACCAACTATAAGTATAGAAAGAAACATTGTCTAATATAACGATCCCTACAAACAATCTAATGATAAAAGGAAAAAGAACGTAATTCTATAAGCGATTGTTAGAGTGGATTTTTAGAAATCTATAGTTCATTCGAAATAGTATGTTTAAACTCTGGTTATGTTATAGTGTAAGCATATGTCTGTCTGCATCCCATAGCATATCGAAAAGCCAAAACAAGAAGATCCCTTAGAATTTAACGCAACAACTACTAGAAAAGCCAGAAATCAATCGCCGAAATTATTCACACTCCGATGACGTAAAATTCAAACAATTTCGAAAACAAATGACATCTAAGAGTGACGTTTACCAGTAGAATCTACTGAACGAATAGATTATCTGGAGCTCATTCCTACAGACTTAGAGAACAATAAAGAACAAATACGACATAATCGTGGACTGACAAAATGTTGACGTAATGATCGTAATCAGTGATGGGCAACAAAAGTAGAAGAAATGGAAAAAGCGGCAGCAGTAGGCATCAACAGACACGTTTTCAAACTTAATAAACAAACAAGTACTAGAAATCCGGGGGTTAGTGAAATTATTTTTTAAAAAGATAAGAAAATGATTAATTCTAGTTGCAGCATTTCGTGACAAATGGCCAAACACTATTTAGAACAATAACTGTTCTCCATCTACCCTCCACTTAGCTGCTGCTACTAAGCAACCTGAATAGGGTATCATCATAAGCCTCCCCATTCTGTAAAAGTTATATCAATTCTGAAGCGAGAAAAATCAGCCGGCATTATATATATATATATATATATATATATATATATATTTGAGTATTTGTGTATTGTATTCGGTAGCCTAAAATAATTTCTCGTCCACTCTTGTGTTCTGACTAAAGTAGTTAGATAAAGGGTTAGCATGTATCGTATGGTGTATCCATATAAAATTTCGGACGCCACCCATCATAATAGTAAAAAATGGTCAAAATCCCCTGAGGATAGTCACAGCGATACCATTTTGACCAGTATATTTTCCAAAATATTAACCTCGATAACTTCTCGACGCTTTGCTAGTATTCGTTCAGAGCCAACGTAAGAAAATGAGGATGGATTCATTTCGTACGTGCATGTGCGGACTAGTTATTATTCCGTAGTCAAGTTCTCCAACATACATACCTACCATAGTCGTATTTCTTTGACCTTAAGATAGCAGTCGATTCCTTGGAATATTAGCTTTTCTGGCAGTCCCTCTACCAAATAAATACAAAAAGATTATGATGGTTCATCATTCGAGCACCATTCGTCAAGCTAGAGCTTTCAACGGACTGTCATCAGATATGATACAACACGTAGCGTTGGTCATGGCTTGGCCTCTCCTCTTATTTTTATTCAGCTTTGTCATAAATAATCTTTTGGATACGAGGTTTGCATCGTTCGGAATCATAGGGTGGATCATTTGATGAAATTAAGGACTCGCATTTCGTCCTATTTGAGACCCGTCGACTGGATGAACCTAAACCTCAGAGTTGATATTCACTCTAGGACTCGAACCCAGTACCGTTCGCTTCAAATGCCATCGTGTTCCAGTGTAAACATCAACTCTGAGATGCAAGTACACTCAGCTGATGAGTTTCAAATAGGACGAAACGCGCGTCCTGGATTTCACTGCTAGCCACTATCCATCATGTTTATAATGCTTGTGAATCAAGGCAATATCGATGCGATGCCCACAGTATGCACATATGGCAATAAGAAACTGATCGTTTGCAATCCTAAACATCAATGGGAATATTCAAGTAAACAAAACCAGATGAATTTTTAATTGTTATATTATCTTGATTTTTCAATAGCAAACCATATGTAAAATGGTTACATTTACAATATTTATTAATAATTTTGAAATCTCCCAAAACGTTACGTAAAAAATCACAAAATTCATTCGAACTGACATTCCATAAACAATGAACTGAGGTATAGGAATCACTGATCTTTAACTAACCTGCATTAGTTGTGGTAATACTAAATTGTGATAATAAGCTTTCATGGCATTTGTCATATGTAGTTGAAGAACATAAGAATTATGAGCATTGAGCAAGTCTTTTATAGCTTTAGTTTGTAGTATTTCACGGTGAATTCTATACATCTCTGCGTAATTACTTTGTAACTAGAATTACCCAAAATAAAATACAATTTATTTCATCTAACAAAAGTAATTGACGTAAGTTAATATTTATAGATTAACATTCCTTAAGTAGAGTTTTATGTACTTACCATTGATCGACATTGTTTGTTTGAAGACTGATGATACTGTCAGGGCATGAGAAATAAAGTCGGTGAAGATCGGTTTGATCTGATGACATTATGGTTGAAAGGGGACTATTAAGCCACCACTCCACTAAGTAGTAGGCTTTTACCAACATAATTTTGTAGACAGACTTTTTGGACTAAACATTGATAAACTGCTTTACTAAAACTTAAGAATTTATAGCAGTTTTTAACCATGGTCTAATGCGGCTATAAAATCTAGGAACTACAAATCCTAAATGACACTCAACTAGTTTTCAGAAGACCATAGTTACACGTCAGTTGGAATTTAAAAAGCTCTCTTTAGTTGGCATCTTCAAAAGTAATTAATGTTTATGCCCTCATTATCACAATGTCTCCTGCAGTCTACTTGCAAGTGATATTTCTTTGCAAACAGCGATTTCAGAACAATTAACTAACTACCAGAGAAAAAATATTAGCCGTTCACTCTCACTGAATTTTGTCTACTGTGTTGTGCATAAAAGAGACTGCGTTGAAAATCTATAAAACCTACTCATTATGTTACATAAATAAAATAGGTCACCATGTAACATACAATCAGCATTTATACCGACTTGTTCAGGCAAAAATAATGATAATTATTAACTTTAAAGTGCTTTACAGAAACACACTTCGTCATTTAAAGTGTGAATTTAACTTAACATGATCTAATCATGTTGTATGAGGATTGTTACATGAAAGTTTCATGACCTCCATCCTATATAACACAATGTATCCAAACACTATCATCTTCGCCATTATATTCATATCTCTGATGTATATTAAACTAAAAAAAATTTAATTTCATGATATATAATTTCTTTCATATATTAATTATCATTCATATTGATATCAACGATAGAGTTTTTGATTCACATATGATTTCTGTTGATTGTCAACCTATACTTATCAGTATTGTTTATAAGACCTATTTATTCATTTGTAAATAAATTTTAAAGCTCACCTCATTAACCTTTTCAGCACATTCCTTAAGAGTGTAATCTGTTGATGTACGAAAAGCTTTCAAACGAGAAATCTGTTGTCTTCTATGCTTCACAATACACTGTAGTGGAGTCACAACTTTTGCTTTAGTCTCCTGAATTACATTTTCATGAAGCTGAAATAACAATACATCAGGTTAAGCAATTTGGTTGAAAACTTTATAAATAACTTATATCTCTCTAAAGAATCGATAATGCAGTCAATTTTAATCTTGGCCTCACCCTTTCTTTCTTACTTGGCATACTTTTTATCCAGTGAAAAATAAGTGGCTATATTGCTTTATGTTACCTAGTAAACAAATGAATATATCAAATAATATATTATAATTGTATGTCCGGCTAAGATAATCTAACAAAAGACAATGGATTTATTAAATGCATCTCTCAAGTTGTAGGAATCCACGAGGTTCTAGTACAAATTTGTATTTGATAGGGTTTGTTCTGTATTGCCAATTAAACAGTTACTCGCCAGTGTTCTGTCTCACAATAATTTTTTTTAAAAGCATTAGTGTTTGATGAATTGGTTTAATTGTGAATTATACTATCCTTGAGACCCTTTCTAAGACATGTTGAAGTGAAAGAGGTTGGTTTCGGACAGTTTTCTTGAAGTTAGGAGTAAAACCAAGAATCAACAAATAGCAATATTTATTTGATCCGAAAATCTTTAACAAGTTTGGAATGTTGAAAGTCAGAAATGTTGTAATAACCATTATTTCTAATTAACTCTAAACATTTAATTGAGAAGTAAACTAGTAATATAGTTAGTCATTATTTTCAGAGTAATTACAACACAATCCATTTACAGCTAGCGGAAGAATTATTAAGAACCTTTACAAAACATTATAGTTATATTATATCCCCGTGTTCATTGGTGTTCGGATTTTACATGGATTTTATGAAGCTATGAAAAAGAAACTGTAACCAGTGGAATAAATTAAGTCATGAGCGATTCCACAACTCATTGAGGACATTGGATGACAGGTAAACAATATTGTGACTGAACTGAACTTTATAATGTCAACCACTATATTCATCTCTAATGGTTTAAAGGTACTGTCTCTCATGCTTAAGATCTAAAAATCCTCTAAATAATACCTCTATTGACTTACATAATCAAAACCTCATCATCCTAAGAAACGCTCAAATATTCAAGATAAATGATGATTATATTGTATTTTGATTTAGCACACCTATCCTGATTGAATAGTAAACAGAACGTCGATACACAAAGTGTTCACATCTTCATACTTTTAGTATTAAATTCTGTCCACTTAATAATTCATTGACCAATAATTCCCTTAAAAATGTTATTTTTTATGAAACTACAACTTACCTCAGCTTCATTTTGAAACTTCTCAATAAATACATGCCAAAAATTATAAAGAATTTCATTGTTACTATTAGTGTCACTGTCTTTCCTGTTGATTTAAAAAAACGGAAAATAAATAAACTTTTGAGTACAGTAAATTTGACGTCCATATCAGTTAGCTTGTAGGCAGTTAATTTCAATACTACAGAGCATCAGTGCAAATAATTTTTTGTCATATAAAAAGTAATGAACTTGATGGGATTGTCATCTACTCATCTTACTCCACCTGTAGCTTTTCCAAAGTTTCATACACATAGTTCCCTTTATCATTTTGAAAAGAGCAAGAACACAGATTCTTCCAAAGTTACTGTCGGTCCCAAGTACTGGTAAAGAAGGAGGGTTGGACATTGAGTTAGCGACCCCATCCCGTAGAAAACTAACTCGCTAAAAAACGCTAACCATTTACATTTTTTAACAGTGAAAACATGTGTTTATAACATTATTTTGATATGAAATAATAGAAAGTTTACTCCTAACTATCAGAAAGCTTGTGTAACAGTAAATGTAAAAAAATTTGAACAATTTATCATCACAAGGTATATTACGTTAAAATTGCCCAATTTTTTCCACTTTCCTTTAGTAAAACTGAAAAACCACTTAAAAGTTAATCAGCACATCATTTTATTACATAAAGAATAACAGAGCTACCAGCTCCCATAACACAAACATATGAGATGTAAGTTTTCAATCTTGAACTAAACAGTTGTGAATCAAATGCTTTGATCACAGAGTAGTCGTTCTATTGTAAATAGGTTCTTTATCTTGTTCAAAGTTATTTATTAAATGTAATGATAAAGTTTATTTGATGAATACTTTTGTAAACTTTTTTATGCAATAAATGATCATTCAATAAGACGAAACACCATAAATCGTCTGATAAATCACTATTTTTAAGTAAACTTTTATATTTTCAAACTACTTCAGAAATCCACATTATAATTAACTGAGTAATTACAATTGTTTTAATTATCTTACTTCAACAAGAATGAATGTCGACGGATAAAAAATCGTTTTAAACTGTTTCCTGTGAATATTTTTTTAAAATTAATTGTTCGAATTCTTTTCTGCAATTTCAGGAAGACTATGATAAGTGTCATGATTTACACTCTTTTAGAAATAAAATCTTATTTTGAGAAGCTCTGCTGTCCTCCAAATATATAAAATTGTCTGTTGACATTCTACAGAGTAAATGTATTTAATCTCTTAGCTAAGAAATTGATAACAGTTAAGCCAGTTTATTCATGTGAGCTTCAAAGCAAAAAGTTTGAATGAGTAACAGAATATAAAGAATCAGATCTGCTGAAATATCCCTGTCTAGTTCATATGTCTACATGATAATCTGCCCAATAAAATAATCAAGAGATATCTCTCTACCGAAGAAATATGATGTATTTGTACAGTAAATATTTCGGATAATCTGTTCACATGTTTACTTTCCTATGGATATCATAAGAAAACGGTAATTAACCAGAAGCTGTTGACCAGATCAATTAAGGAAAGAAACAAATAACACTAACCCTAAAAATAAAAACGCATCATGGAGTACCAGGCTAGATTCATGATGTGAATGATTTTTTTTAACATATGTCAAAGGGTAAAATTCCTTGATTTCTAGAAATTAAATGAAACTCACCATCGTAATCCTTAGTCGAATTTTAACACTACATAGGCTGTAATAACCTATGAATCTTTCTGTACTCACTTTCTTTATATTATATATTTCATTATCACCCCAGCATTTCACACAAAACGTCTTAGAATATAAGTGTGTAAATCATATTATTCAAAATATACATTGAGCGTACACATCAAACTATTCAGGTTATCTCAGTTATTTTAATACGTGATCTATGTTTACAAACGTCACAAATTGGTTTGATGTTTTTAATATAACATACTAAATTATAGGAATAATGTCAGTAACAATCTGAATAAGCAAACACAACGAAATACAAACCCAAAAGTATTCTATAATTGAATACTTAGTTACCATTTAGCTACCAAAATATTAAAATATTCACAGCATTCAATTTATATGAATTGACACTGAATAATAAATACTAAAACGCTTTATACTCTCTATTGTAAAGCTAACTTTTGGTTTAGAAATTCAGCCAAAATAAGGATATATAATCTAACAGATCATTATGCTCGAATTTATGTATATTAGACAAAGTAAACAAGTTGAATAGTTTAATTGAATAAACTTCTCATATTCTTTAGCATAAATCCTGCGAACTTATATTTTCTATGCAATACCAAAATCCCGAAATGAATAGCTGAACGTTTCTTGCAGTTAATAACAATTTTTAGTCCAAATAAACTTGTTCAATTGACAAAGTAAGATTCTTTTTCTCTACAGTTTATTGGTCACTCAAAAGAGCTCATCTACTTGAACATAGTTTAAATAAAATCAACTCAACCTCAGATATAACAATCTACAACAATATTCACGTAAATCACCACTATACAAACACATACAAATTAATATCGAAAATGGCTCCATTTTACAAGATCTAAGGTTCATTATTCTAATACTCTTCAGAATAATTTTTATTCATGACGAACACTTGTCCTGTCAAAGTTTCTATTTTGCTTCAAACACTCATGTAGATCCTTGGAAGTAAATGTCTTCAGAAGATTTATTGTCTCCCAAATTTTCTTAAATCCAATTCTTCAGCGATTACTCAAAGAATCCTTGATGAGAAAGAACTTGAAACTGAACATAGTATATACTTTATCACAGGAGATTGACTGTCAACCTGATCTTAAATCACCCATAATATTTTCATGGCTCTCAGCGAAATGGGTATTTCACTTAAAGAAGCTGTTAACTTTGATATGTTATTTCTATAAATAAATCTAAGCTTTTCGTGAGCCTCCTGATCATTTTATTCAAGTTATTTATTGAATGTAGTACTGTCTTAAAAAATTGCAGTTTATCCATTATATTAAACAGTTTGAACATATCAGGAAGTTATTTCAAACATTTTGTCATCATCTCAGTCAAAATCATCAGCGATTTTTTTTTCGGATTCTTTTTTCTATTTTTCAAAATTCATAAAATATTACCTAAAGAATTAAGGGGAAATTGTTCTACTGTGACGAATATTTTTCTTTTAGATACAAACAATAAAAATTACGTTTAACCAAGTAACTTACTTTATACTTTCAACTTTTTCTACACTTTCTTTAAATGATTGACATACATTTTTTATGGCTATTGAGTAAGATTGTCTAGCATCAGTCATTTGTTCAATAACTGAAACAACTAGATAATTTATAGTAAATAAATAAATAAAACGATAAGAATTCATTAACATTAATGATAACTAAAGAAATATTTGAATTGATTTTTTCATTGAGTATATTAAAATCTAAATTATTTATTATATAACAAATAACTGATTTCAATGGTTGAGATCATGAGTTAGTTGAAGCTAGACTACCATGGAAAACCTGGAAGCACTGGACGGCCGTTTCATTCCATTGTGGGACTCCTCAGCAGTGCACATCCACGATTTTGATTATTGAAATTTATTAAACAAGACATACTAAAATCAATATTTTTTTAGAATATATGGTTGATATACAATAAACTATCACTAAATAGTTATTGTTGTCTTTATTATTTAATATTTAGTGTTAATTGATCAGTTAGTGTGACTGAGCATCCAAACTCATTTCAATTTTGGAAAAGTTTTATAAAGTTGGCTAATACGATCATTTCCCCGTAAAAGAATCAACAAAGATGTGATATCGAACAATGAAGTTTAGGAGAAATTTTTTTTGAAATAGCTATTAGAAGTGAAATGCATTCGAAATACGAAATAGACTAAAGTCAATGAAATGTTTTGGTATTTGCATATTCAATTCCCAATATATTTGTTTCTAATTTACTTATAATGTTAGGCATATATGAAGAAAATCTTTACACCCTACAGATTTCAAATATTTTAAATTATTAAAGATAAAAAACTTTTCGATCACAATTTTGACTCATGTTTTAATTATATCTATAGTAGCACAACAAACCGTATTTCAGTACCAATATGATATGTCAAGTAAGTGAGAAAATAATACCTTAAATACATTATTAATGTAATATTTGTGTCACAGTTTCCATGCTTCTCTCAATCGCTAAAAAAACAGACGATCTTCCATTCATAATACCGTTGATAGGGTAAAATGCCTACTTTTAGCTACATTGTATTATAAAGTATTATTTTTAGATGGTAAATATCACTATTCTCAACAAATTGAATAAAACACTAATGTACTTTATTAATAAACGATTTACATATAAGTAATAAGTGACATGAATTTTTGTATCAAACGAAACAAAACTGATTAAATTTACAAAATGTATACAAAATATATACAAAAGAAGTACGTCTTATCGTTATCGTTACCTTGGCCTTAATTAATATTATCATTATTATTTTATCGTTATTATTATTATTACTGTATTCCCCTTTATTTATGTCTTATATTCTCATTATTTTATTCACATATTCTCATATACTGTACAGTATACAGTAAACCGAAGAATCATGTACCGATTTATATTCGATAATTTTGATTTTTGATTATATTTTCTTGAAGAAGCTTGAACCAGATTGCCAGGCGAAACGTCAGATTTACTTCTAATTCAAATTTTACAAATACATTCTTCCTCTTTAATGTCTGATATCAACTCGGCGCCCAAATGCTGTGAAACTATTCGATCAAATTTAAACGAAAGTTCTTATTTACTCATCATATCACTATTTATTTTTACACCTCGATGATCTTTAATGAACTTTAATTAGTGTAGCAAAAGCGCACCCACGACAGACTGATTGGTCCTGGGTTCGAATCCCTCAAGCGGGATTGTGGATAAGCACTGCTGAGAAGTCCTACAATAGAACGAAACGGTCGTCCAGTGCTTCCAGGTTTTCCGTGGCGTTCTAGCTTCAATTTACTCATGATTTCAACTATGAAACAACGTTTTGATTATTTTAACCATCTTATTATATTCACTTAATCTAATGTTATTATTCGTATTGCGTAACCTAGTATTATAATTTTCTTACTACGCCACTTTGGCTATTCGTGTTCACACTTCCTCAGGCAATGAGTACCTTAACAAAAAAGTTTCATATATATATGATTGTACAGCTTGATAATAAATTCGTTGAAAAGGGATCCCTTCGTTGAAATTCATTTTTTTAATAAACTATACACTGATAAACAAAACAGGAATATATAAACCTTTGAAAACCGCTTTAACAATTTTCATTTTATCAATTCAAATGTAACTTCCTGTAACAATAGAAAATGATGAAATAATTCATTTGTAATAATTAATTATTGATAAATATTAATTTACATGGAGACAAGATCAAAGACTATTTAATTAATTGTTAAAATCTACTCAGTTTTAGTTTGTTTGTTTGGTTTTAGTTAAACACTAAATAGAACAATATTAATTATGTTCTAAAATTAAAGAGAACATTAAAATTATGGATAATTCAATCATTTCTTTGATTTATAACTAATTAGTGTATTATTTTTTCTGATTATCATGTTTATAAACATTTACTAAATCAAAAGGGGTTTTGTGGAGATTTTCGAAATTTCGATAGTTGAAGTCCTGAGTCAATTGATGCTAGACCATCATGGGAAACCTGAAAAAACTGGTCAGTCGTTTCGTCCTACTATGGGACTCCTCAGCATTGCGCATTCACGATCCCAGTTCACTGAAGACAATCGTATACGGTGGCGCGATTTTGTGGATTAGTTGAAATTAGACATTATTAATGTTAGATGCCGGACAGCTCAGTGGTCTAACGCTTAAGCGCTCGCGCGCGAGACTGATAGGTCCTGGGTACGAATCTCGCGAGGAGTGGGACAGTGGATGCGTAGTGTTGAGGAGTCTCATACTAGGACGAAATGGCCGTCCAGTGCTTCCAGATTTTTTATGGTGGTCTAGCTTCAACTGACTCATGATTTCAACTGTTGAAATTTATTATATCGTTAATTATTCGTTGCGAATTCTTTTAGTTTTGTTAAATTTCAAAGAATGTTTGTTACAGTAAAATCTATTGAAAAACATTACGAAGTGTCTATTCATCTTAATATGATCGTAATAAACGTACATTTTTCAATAAGATCCAACTGATGCGTTATAGAATCAATCATTAAAGGATAATAATTTTTATGTGATAAAAATTGAAATCCAACTGTATTCATAGGTTGTCTATTATCTTGAGACTTGTATGTGGTAACTGCCGTTGACTGAGAACGTTTATGCTGTTAAACAAAGTCAATAAATATACACGTCGTTAAAATGCTTCGATACAATATATATAACATATTAACTTAATTTTTATACAAGACTCATGAGACATTGTTCATATAGTTACCTGGATTCACTCAACAATATCACTATTGATTTCTGGTAACTTCAAATAACCTTCATCTCGTGAATTTACCATAAAGTGAACTTGTTACATTTATCAATTAGTACATGACAGTAATTCACACGAAGAAAATTCTATCATCTGGCTTGTTTATCCCGCTTTATAACTGTAGATCTAGTTTTTTTTCAAATAATCTATTAGTCTCTATAGCTTTCTAGGAACGAAATTCACTTTAAACATAAAGTGTAGTCTTTATATAAACTCTTGGTTATTATGAAGAGAACAGTTTATTCTTCTGGTATTTTATATTAGATAATAAGCTTAAAATTACTTTGATTAAAAGTTCAACTAGTCAGTATATGGTATTTCTATACCTTAAGTATTTGAATATATCTTTATTATTTTGTTTAGATTTTTTATCACAAACAAGCTATAAAAGTGGATGGCTATAGAGAAATAAATAAATTATATGTGTTGCATATTACATTCAATTAAAAAACGAAATAAAGTAGGAGATAATCTAATTCAAATTTTATTTTCCTGATTCCTTGTTTATTTACCACAGATGGTATCATAACCGAGGGTGAATGGAGTGATTTAGAGGTATAGGCATGAGCTCTAGAAGTAGTGAAAATACGGTAATTGAGTGATAACTACTCAAAAAGGCCGAATTATAAATATACTTGTTCTCAGTGAGAGAATATCGTTGGTTGATTCATACGATACAATATCATTTTATGTACATTCTACCTGAATGTGTTTATAAAATCATATACCTTCACAACTATATAATTCCAACTAAGAAGCATATTATTTAAGCATTTTTCCATACAAAAAAGCCTTGTTGGGCTGTAGTTATTTATACTAATATTTTGAACTAAACCGTTGAAACAACTAAGCTGTAACTTATTTGAGTAATAAATGAAGTTAAAATAATGACTTAATCTTCATATCACAAGATATATGGAGAGATTAAAAAACAAATTGGTACAACTAATTATCTAATTCAAGAAGCAGTGACCAGTGGAGTTCAACCAGGTCTGTTGTGAGGTAGTAACTCACTGAAGACAATGGTGAATGTGTCGCTCAATTTCGTGGATTAGTTGAAGTTAGACATGAACACCGTTGGATGCCGGCTCAGTGGTCTAGTGGTTAAGTGCTCGGGCGCGAAACCAGTAGGTCCTGGGTTCGAATCTCGCAGGGAGCGAGGTCGTGGATGCGCACTGTTGAGGAGTCCCACAATAGGACGAAACGGCCGTCCAGTGCTTCCAGGTTTTCCATGGTGGTCTAGCTTCAACTGACTCATGATCTTAATCATTGAAATTACTACAATCTCCACAAAAAAACTCATCTGATAATTCAAGAATGACAAATATTCTCATCAAACCTACCAGTATATCAAAAAATGAAATAATACTTTTTCGTCCAATATTAATACTAAGTCGTTGTAAATTCATTGGTAAATGTGATGTTTAGTATCGTAAACTATTGAGTTGAATCTATTAGTTCTTGAGCAATCGGTGATTTAATGTAGACAAACCATGGGATTTTCTTAAACGTTCATTTATTTCAATAATGACATTTGATATTTATTAAATTTGTAGATCAGATCCAAAACATTTTCCTGGCAATGCATTGATGAATTCATTGAAACCAATCACTAAAAATGTAAGATATTTTTATTAATCGTGAAAAAGGTAAGTGAAATGGTGTAATTTCACTTAAGTAAAAGGTATGAGATGTTATAGTGTTTTACAGTAATACACACAAGTCGTTATTAAATGGTCTGCTGACTTGTAATCAAACACATGTTCTTTAAATAGTTTTTTGTAGCTAATAGAATTGTTGATATCTTAAAATATATAACTTTTTTATGCTATGCAATTCACATATCCAAAGTGTCCAATGGAAAATATAAAATTGGCCAAATTGTTATTTTAAGAAATTAAAGGTGCTTCAATTTTCAAGAATGATATAATATTAGTCATAATGATCAAATGTATTTGTCTACCCGTTCACTGTATTTATTAAAACAATGAAATTTATTTAGAAAATAGCTAAAACGAATTATGAAAACATGAATAAGACTCTGACGTCCAAATAATTCACATACATTAAACACTAAATGGATGTTTCATGTTCTTTAGGCACCTATCAGTAGCGTACTCAAGAAACGTTTTGTTTCATTCACAAGTAAAACTTCATCAAAAATCCATGATTTCAATGTGGTCATGGGGAAAAACACCATAGATTATTCTCAAATAATGAACTAACAGCTGTTCAGTAAAAAGTTGTGTTCAACAATTCTACAAATAATTATTTAGAGAAACTTATCGTCGAACTATAAAATCTCTCAATAAACTCAATGTAGTGGATGTGTAAAATAATGATTATTCCAGTCAATTTTATCACCAATTTTTTTTAAATTTTAGTCGTACAAATACATGGATAAAATGAAGTTGTAACGTTATATAACTATTTGATGATGAGAGTATTTCTCCAGCCGTAATCCTATCAAAAGTGTTAATCAATGTTAATCAGTTTCCCAAAATCAGTTATTAAGCTTAAAACTTTTATGTTCCTTCTTAAACAAACTCGATAACAGCTTTAAGAGATATGTACAAAGATAATATGTCTGACACGTTGAACTCCAAAGTAATTCTACACTAATTTAAAAATTAATTAAAAACAAGATAAAATTAAACAACTTTTCCTTGTTTTGGTTGCAAAATCATTAAGTGCAAGGTTGAATGATTAAATCATGTGTATTTTCAGCCACAGAATGGTTCAGAAGACATTTCAGTCAGTCCAACCCAACCTATAATACACGATAAAGGTATCCACATCAATTATTTTTAAATAGGCTACTGTATCTGATATTAAATTTGCTGCCTGATAGATCATTGACAAACGCTAACGTAGGTAATAAAATAGTTTTTTAAAACATACAAGGAATCTCTTTTTATTTCTACCTTTCCAAAATATTTCTATGTTTCATAAATCCATAAATCTAAAGATCCAACTTGAAGAGATTCATTTATCTACAGTTGTCGATCTTATTCAATAGTTCTTAACTTTGAAAAAAAGAGCTATTTTATCGTACGAAGTTCATGATCATTTTTAAATGTCCATTATAATTCACTATCTTCCTTAATTTTATCAAAAATCTATTCTGTCTTACTATTCATTTATACTCACTTCACTTTAAAGACAAGTTTCACTCCAATTAATCACAATGAACTAGTAAACGTAGACGTTTTTGTAAAAAACATAAAACTATTTCGAACAAACACATATCCTCTACTTTGATACTTTCTTCATTTGATTTTATAGGTGTCCTAACCAAACTTTATCAACTATCTCAATAAAGAGGAAAAATGTATTTGTAAAATCTTAGCGAATGAATTTCAAGTAAATCTAACGTTTCACCTATCAATGTGGTCCAATCTTTTTCAAGGAAATATAATCACACGTCAAAATTATCGAATATAAATAGATATATGGTCCTTCGGTTCACTGTATACTGAATAGGTCATCCAATCAACATTAACAATCTTTAAAGTAGGTATTCGCATTGTTGTACAAGAGACATGTGGTGTGAAACGATAAATGTTAAGATAACAGATTGTGTGTATACGTAATTGAGTAGGAGAAATCTCATTCACTATATACTGTCTTTGGTAGGTAAATTTTAAGAAAACATATAATTTTTTATAAATGATATGAATCGAAAATTTCACAGCATGCATAAAATGAAGATAAATAAACAGTATAAACGAATGAATTCAAAGAGGAAGAATGTATTTATAACTGAATGTTCGTGTTATTTTAATGTCTTAGTCAATTGTTTAACATATTCAGATAAGATAACTGATTTGAACCGTTGAATGTAATATCTTTTAATCAGTTAATACGATATAGATAGAATGGAACAAGGAGTTCAGATTCACTTAATAATTATTAGTTTCCATGGGACAGCTAGTTCTATTCCATCTTTTCTATTAATACTGTTTGGATTAGCCCATATATGTAGGGCTTCGGCTGTTAGTTATCCTATGTAAGAATTAAAACCTTTCTGAAGAATTCTTGTGCCGTTTAAATCAATTTTATGACCCGATTCTATTAAGTGTAATGCTATCGTTGATTTGTTCTCGAGTTTTCTTACATTATCTAAGGATTCAGGAATGTGCTTTAAGTTTGGTTTGTGTTCCTTCACCCTCACATTTAGTTGCTTTGATGTTTCACTTACATACGTTGCATTACAGTCACTACATTTGATTTCATAAGCATAATTCTGTTGTTCCTCCTTGTGTATTGGATCTTTGATTCCTACTAGTTTTGACCTTAGATTATTGTTTATTCAAATGAATACTCTTATCTTTTATCTCTTATATTATCTCCTATATTATTATTTTACTCATATTTATCACAATACTTAAGAATAATAAAACAATAGTTCATGAGTCAGTTGAAGCTAAACCACCGTGGAAAACCTGGAGGCACTGGAACGCCGTTTCGTCCTATTGTTGAACTCTTCAACAGTTCGCATCCACGATCTCATCCCCTGCGAGATTCCAACCCAAGACATACTGGTTTCGCGAGCGAGCACTTAACCACTAAAACACTGAGCCGGCATCCAACGGTGTTAATGTCTTACTTCAACTAATCCACTAAATTGAGCGACACATCCACCATTATCATCAGTGAGTTACTATCTCACAACAGACCTGGTTGAACTTCACTTGTCACTGCTTCTCACTAGAACTCCAGGATATATCCTGGAGGTAGTAACTCACTGATGACAATGGTGGATGTGTCGCTCAATTTTGTGGATTAGTTGAAGTAATACATTAACATCGTTGGATGCCGGCTCAGTGGTCTAGTTGGTCAAGCGCCTGGCGTGAGACTGATAGGTCCTGGGTTCGAATCTCACAGGGGGTGAGGTCGTGGATGCGCACTGCTGAGGAGTCTCACAATAGGACGAAACGGCGTTCCAGTGCTTTCAGGTTTTCAATGGTGGTCTAGCTTCAATTGACTCATGATCTCAACTGTTGAAATTACTACAACCTCCACAAAACCCCTTCTGAGAATAAAATAAAAAAATCAAACTATAACTTACTCTAAAATGTTTAGTAGAACAATTAGAAAATAAAATATTATACATCCCTTCATAGATTATGTTGTTAACCATTGGAGAGAAAAGAAAAAAGGGAAATGTCAACTTGTTTTATTCTTTTCCATTTTGTTTGAATAATTTTTTTTTCAAAAAAAAGCATGAAATATTGAATTTGTTTTATACTATTTGTTTATTTGTATTTAGTAATCAATGTAATATTTGTTACAATCATTTATTTAAAATAGTAAATAAATAGTAACGTATAATAATAATCATACATTCTTCCCTTATATACTTTTCTTTTTCTTCTTCTTCTTCTTCTTATTGTTCAGTCAAGGTTTTTAACAACAATTGTTTAAAATAATAAGTCTACTGATAAATTTAATTTTAAAAACAATAAAAACACAAATGAGGAATAAGTCGTAAAGTACAATGAAGAATAACATTTATCTTAATATTTATTTAAGGTGAAAAAAATCGTTAGTTTTGTAATGCTTTTTCCTGAGTTACTAAGGGAGAAAAACGCTCCATAAAGAAAACTAAAATGAAAGTGTTATAATAATAATAATACCTTAAAAAATTGTACGATATCGAAGGTTGATTACTTACTTACGCCTTTTACTCCCAATGGAGCATAGGCCGCCGACCATCATTCTCCAACCCACTTTTTCCTGAGTCTTCTTTTCTAGTTCTATCCAATTTTTATTGATTCCTCTTATATCTGTCTCCATTTATCGGCGTAATGCGTTCTTTGGTCTCCCTTTCCTTCTTTGGCATTCAGGATTCCATGCAAGGGCTTGCTTTGTGATGCAGTTGAGTGCTTTCCCCAATGTGTATCCTATCCACTTCCAGTGCTTCTTACAGATTTATTCCGCCGCTGAGACCTGCTTTGTTCTCTCTCACAGTAGGTTGTTACTGATAGTGTCTGGCCAACGGATCCGAAGTATTTTGCGCAGGAAACCGTTAGTAAACAATCGTATCTTCTGGATGATGACTTTCGTAGTTCTCCAAGTTTCCACCCCAATATCGAAAGTTAACGAGAATTAAAATTCATAGAACATCAAAGACTACTGGATTGACAAAGTAGTATTAAGCCCTTCATTGGATTTAGCATTTTTACATTTAAAATCGTAAAGGTTGTTGAAACTCATGATGAAACACAACAGTTGAACAATCTGTAAATAATTTGTATTCATCCTTGGCTGATGTATGAATAAAAATTTCCATAGATTGAATTCACATGACGATTTGTACAATCAAGCTTTTTAACGTTTTATAGAATTTGTAAAATGAGCATATTTACGGTATGTTTTCGGTGTTGAAATGACGGAATAATCTATGAATATTGTCACACCACACGTTTTATGATCTATTTATCAGACCAACTTCACTGAGAATTTGCAACTACAATTGAAAGTTTGTCAACACTATACATTAAAAAGCCACTTGAATACGCAACCTTCAACAGATTTTTAATAATTCTAAATTATATGAATTTAGTTTAACATACAAAAAATATATTCTTCTAAACTGAATAAGTCCCT